TCTATTTCTATCAATTGTTTTCTTTGTGTATTCTTAAATAATAAGGTACAAGATTTTGTAATGAACGTATGTTGACTTTTACAGGGTGAAACGTCAAGACTGCCAAAACTCTCCACAACCAAGATTGCTGGTTTGGAATATAAAAAAAGTGCGTAAAGAGCTGTACCAGTAGACCCATAATTTTCAGGATAAAAGCAAAAGAAGACGCTTTATCCAGTGCAAAAATTTTTGTCACTGAAAACATGAGCATTGCTACGGGCATATGTTTATATATATTTTTCCCGTTCGCGGACCGACTTAGACTTGACCACGACTAACGCCGAAAATGGTGGCAACTTTATTGTGGAAGCACCTATCAGGTGAGCTAACGTTACCTCCTATGAAAGGACGGATAATTATAGCCATGTCTTTTCCGGGATTCGAACCCAGGCCCTTAGGTGTCGCAGAAGACTTCCCTAACCACTATACCATCTGGGCGGTATATTTAAAAGACTGAATCTAGCAGCTACCGGTATTCTTTGCTGAATAAGGTACACCCACGCCAATGGATTGGACGTGGGGTTCCGGCTTTATGATAACCCCGATCACCAGATCTGACACCTTTGGATTTCTTCATGTAGGAATATCTGAAAGAATTGGTCTATCAAGATGTAGTTGCTACAGAAAGTGACTTTGTTGCTCATCTTCATGCTGCGTGTACTTTGGTGGACACCACGCTGCTGCAACGCGTGCAGTCATCTATTTCACGGCGCAAGCATGCATGAATCGATACTGCGAGGTTGATATTTTAAATATCTTCCTGTGTAAACATATGCAAGTACCGATGTTCATTTTTTCAATAAATGTTTTTTCCTTGCACTGGATATAACGTCATACTTTTCTTTTGCATTTATCTCGAAAACTATGACCTGTACAGTAACAATTCTTTTGACTTTTTTTTTTTTTTTAATGTATTCCAAGCGAAAATTTGGCTGTGCAGATTTTGAGCGGTCATGATGGGACACCCTGTACAATCACGTGTAATGTACTGCAAGTTTTGATGATGTATTCACTGCTAAAATATTAAAAATTTCCACTGAGGAAATTAAGACCCGTTTCAAAGTGTTATTCTAATATTGATATCCGAAATAAAGTAACAACTGAAAAATTTTGTAATGAGATCCAGGAAATATATAAGAATTATATTATAACTTTAGGCTGAAATTTTGGTATCAAACAATATAGAAGACATAATATTAAATATCCTACAAGTGGATGCAAAATTATGATGCATATTGAATATTATTGACATATAATAATGCAACTGAATATTATCTATACATCTATATATATATAAAGAAGAAAGTCTGTGTGTTTGTCCTCTAATAACTCAGTCACTACTACAACTATCATCGCCAATATTTCTATAATTCTAAAATTAGCGATATTAATATATTTAGCTAAAATTAGCGACATTAATTAAAAACTCGGAAAAACGATAATTTTCGCCCTCATTTTTCCGAGTGGCAACAGTCTCGCAAGCTGGAGATGAAAAGATGTTTTATTTCGAAAGTTGTAACCACTGCTCGCTTTCAAATCTTAGTCTTAAAAAATTTCTACCTTTTACGATGAAATAAAAATAGCATTGCAAAACATTAAATACCTTATTCCCGATTCCACAAATTCGTGGGAAGCCATTTCCACTACTCTCTCTTCGTACGACTTTAATCAGCCGAAATATTAATTAAAAACTCTGAAAGCACTAATTTTCGCACTCATTTTTCTGAGTGGCAACAGTCTCGTGCGTTGGAGATAAAAATGCTTTATTTCAAAAAGTGTTGCTACTGCTCGCTTTCCAATCGTAGAGTTTGTTAATCAAAAATTTGTAAGTTTTACAAAATCTATACATGTAAAGAAGAACGTCTGTTTGTGTATTTATTTGTTTGTTCGCGTTATTGATTTCTGATAAATTATGATAAATCTTTTGCCGCATTTAATCGACTAAAATTGAATATAGCTGAAATATTGAATAGAACTTGCGCCTTTACAACCATTTGATTAGAAAGAAGAAAATCATTAAAAACTGCGGGCCATTGTTGCTGATAATGATGAGAAAGAATTAGCTTTTTTCTTCTATGGAAATTTTTTATGTGTGTTCCGTATTGCATCAGACTGAAAAATGTATGACTATGAATCGTATTTTTGCATTGTTATTAGAGAAGTAGTTCTTATTTTTGTTATTAGAGAAGTATTACAGCGGTATCGTTCGCTCTGTTGTTAGACGGATTACTTTCAATCTAACTTAATTGGCATCGGGTACTTCTGCTAGTAAAAAATAATAGAACTGATTATTTTTTATATAAAACGTTTATGATAAGGCTGTAGAAAGATTATAATGTTCAAAACACTAGAAATGAAGTATTATTCATAGAAAAATAAGAAAACTAATTAAAAAATATTAAATGCAAGAAAGGTCAATCATAACCCAGAAAATTCCTGTTAGTGCAAATAATTGTGATATGATATTACGTTAATCAAAGGATCCATATATAACACAATAAAATGAGGAAAAATTAGTGCAGACACCATTACCAGCAAGAAAGAGAGGTGCAATATATAGTTGTTTAAAAGAACGTGCTTTAAATTGCAATTTATATTCTACTAGCAGCTACGCAACGAGGCTTCTTCTGGCTTTTAAATGTACCGGAAAAATGCCTGAAGGAAATACCAAACTTTAAATTTAAAAACTGTGCAGAATTTTACTCTGCAAAACAACTTTATATTAAAAAAATGTTTTAGATGTATTACATATAACAAAATTACAATGAAATAAGCAATATCCCTTAATACAAGTATAATTATCCTAATAAATAAATTAACCAACTTCTCGTTCTCTTCTCTTAACAAACGTCCAGTATCTAAGAGAAAGATTAAATTTAAAAACTGCACAGAATTATTATCCTCATTTTCCCAAGTGGCAACAGTGATGATTTTCAATAGTCAGCAGTCCAGTATACGATTGAATGAAAAACTGTTGCCAAAACCATATTTCTAAAAGAATGAAAATATTCAAAATGATGCGATAAAATCGAAAAGATAAAATTAAAAAAATTTGATTCGAATTTTGAAAAACTCGCTTCGAAATTCACTGGCTCTTGTATAGATGCACCTATATACCAGATTTCGTAGCCCTGGATCTATTAGCTACGCGCAGCACGAACGAAAAGACACACAGACTCTTTCTTTTATTATATGTAGAGATTTGGTTTTTAATCCTAACTCTGTTTAATGTCGTCAACTAGAGTTTGCGCGCTATTTTATTTGTTAACGATTTTGTAAAATGCCATTTCCGAGTAAGAAATAGCTATGCAAAAAATGTGATACATTCTAGCTTAATCCACAAACATATAAATCTGACAGACTTCGTCAAAATCTTTGAAAAATATCTGGAATAGAACAATGGTCCATAGAAAAACAAGGTAAAAATGCGTTGCCTGATTTCAAATGCAAAGATGTATATTTAGGAGGAACTGGAATGGTAGCGTTCTTTTTAATCCTTTTTCCTAAATATCCTGCCATTTCTGCGTTTTGAAATTTCATGCAAACTCAAGGGCAGAAGCTTGTGGAAGGACATAAAGTTTATGGAAAAGTCATAATATCAGAGCTTTCAAATATATATCAGTAATCTCTTAAGCAATTGTAAGTCAACGGAAGTCTTTGAATAAAGGAAACTACAGCTGGTAAGACTCACAGTATGCATATAAGTATACTGTTTCGCGATGAGGTGTTATAATGAAAGATATATTCAATTTAGGTATCCAAACCAATGCGTCTTTATATAATGCGCTATTACAGGTGATATAATTTATTCTAAAAAGTTTAAATTGATTCAGAATTACCTTGCGTACAAATTCCTTGGGCTATAATCCGACTTTTTATATGATATTTTTGAATTTTTCAACGACTTTAAACCGACTGAGATATAACACTATCTTGTCACAACGAAATTCTACACACTTAGATTCGTTTGAATTTTAATATTTTTCCAGAAAAATATAGTGATTCAATTCTAGTTAGCAAATAATCAAAATACTTGCGCATTATTTTTACATGCAGATATTTAATTTTCTAAAATGCATGAGAAATGCCACGTTCTCATTAAATGAATGTATTTTCTTTCCCATATGGAAAAATGTACCTTAATGCGATTCCCCTTGGTAATTTAAAGTAATGTAGGTAAATGAGTATGTGTAATGATGCTAACATTACTCCTCGAAATGAAATTCTCGAGTTGACATTTCTACGTCGTTAAGCGTTGAAAAATCCAGGGCGTTCCCTTATCTCAGGTTTAGAATTGAAAGTAAATTTATGTATGTTATACAAACTGTCACATCCTCCAAAGTGTTAGTGATGTAGAACTCGTTTCCGTCTAATAATAATGGGCAAGTTGTTTTAAATTCTAATCAATAAGTTTTCCTGACAGACATGATTATCATATTCGTCTACGCCTTCGATTATAAATATTCCTGCCATTTCTAAATTAGAAATTAGAGATTGCTTTTAAAATGAAACCTGAAGAACACTTAATACTTTTTTTGAGAGAGAACCAAGCATATTTGCAACAAATAATTTCAGATTCTTCAGATGTAAACCATTGTACAGACTGGAAAGGAGTCTTCCAAGAATACCTATCTGCTTTTGAATTTTGCAGCAGAAGTTGAACCATTTCTTAAATTTTTAATAATAAATATCGAAAATATTTGTTTTCAAATATTATCCCGCTCTTAATTTGAATCAATAATTAGCAATGAGCTAGAAATTTGAAGTATAATCCTTTATAAAAAATTTCTGGGAGGGGATGGAGTTATTGGGTTCACAAGAAGAACATGTAGTAGACACATCATTCATCATGTAAATGTATAAATGTACATGTGTACACAATTATTATCGACTTTACATAACACTAAAATATGACCGAATCGATTTCAGATTGCCAGCATACCAAAATCTGGGATTTTAAATGTTCCATGGTTTCTGAACTTCACTAGTGCAGCATAAAGGTCTAATTTACTGACAATTCAAGGCTCGGTTCCTTCCTACTAACTACGAGTAATTATCGAATCAGGTATTAGTTTAATCGTGTACTATTTTACATAAATATTATAATTTTAAATTAAAAAAAAATAAATGAGAAAATGTTTTCATTAATGTTAAAATATTTATTAGAAGCACCAAAGTTTCTTCTGGAATAAGTTTCGAAAGAATCTTGCGCTAAATATACGCGTGTAGGAAGACATCTTGATACGTTTCGCTTTACCACCATAACAAAACTTTACATTTAAACTATGTCACAATTATATATCAAATACATAATTTTTTATACAAGGTACTCCAGAAAATACATAATAATGATTCATGATGCATTCGGGAAATTATAAAAAACAAACGTCTTTAGAACTATACATCTTTCATTCAAGATATATGTAATATCAGATTTCCGTAATGTTCCTTCGGGTTCAGCGAATGAAAGGTCACCGTGAAATAATCTCGAGAAGTCTTCAGTGGAGAAGCGGGGAGGCCATGTATTGATGTCCATCGAGTTTGAACCCAGGCTAATGTCGATAATATCGAATGTGTACGGGAAACTGCACGCATATGACCTTAACGTAAGCATATAGACAAAAATAAAGACCGTCTGGGAAACGCTTTTGTATCTGTCACGAAGTACAACTTAGGTGCAAAAGCACGGACAGAAACAAAAAGATTTTAGAATAAGATTAATGAAAGATGCATACATATCAAATGTTACGATTAAAAATTTTTAGTATTAATGTTTTTAAACTGCCTGACTGACAAAACTTTCTCTCTCTTTGGTTCCGGGCCAAAAAAATTATAAATCTCTCATAAAATATCTGAAGTTAAACTAAATCACATAAATCATCAACCCTGTAAAATAAATTTTATTATTTCAAAGCTCAAATCTTTAAGTCATTGCTGAAAAGATAATATCCTTACCGGTGTTTTGGTATAATCAAAAGATTATTTATCAAAACAAAATGGAAAATGAGAAAATGTTTTTCAATATCAAATTCATCAAATGCTCTCACTAAAATAAAACTATATTCCCAGTCTTCCCTGAAAACACATAAATTTCAGTACAACAACGCTAGAGATAGCCACAAACACTTTTCATTTAAATATAAACACAGAACGCCCCAAAACACCAAGGAAGGATTAACCACACAAGTAAATATCAAACACTAGTTCCAATAATATTAGAAAAAACCAATCGTATAGTATATAAAATTTATTTCTCAACTATACCTTTCCTATAACTTTAATACCCAGGTAAGAAATCCCTGTTTTCCGTAAGGATAACATGGGTGATATAAAATATGCCACTATATAAAATAACTCATATAAAACATAGCAATATTAAATCATTAAAACATTTATTAAATTTTTTAGAATATCATAAATTTAAATAGCTGGCCAAACTATCCCTACAAAACATTATCTAAAAATTACTCACAATTTCAAACTCACATCTAATACTAAATTTAAGGAACATACCGATTTCCTTCACCAATTATACAGCAATATTTCATTTTCTGACATTTAGTAATTAATTAAATTATTTAATATTATATTCTATACACCTTAAATCAGTCATATTTACTTTAATGAAACATAAAGATTTTTCTCATCTATTAATTTAATTTAATTTATGTCAATTAAACATTTTAAAAATTCACTTTTTTAATTATTAATTAAGTAATCAATAACATTTCAGCTTTTCATATAACATTAAAACGGCTGCTCATGTCTTAGAAATTAACATTCCAAAATCTTAATAATTAAGTATTAAAGAAAAAGCAAATGAAAGTAAATCCCTCACAGATTTTAGAACAGAAGGATCCATAAGTGAAGAAGGTCCTGGGCCGATAAGCACGGTGGTTTCCAGATGTGCTTATAGATAGGGTCCATGACGAATTCGCTTGAGCTGATCATTCAGTCGTCAAGATTAAGAGGTTAATAGAAATGGTTGTCCTTTCCTTTCTTTAGCTGCATCCTAACTGGTGATGTCCAGAACTAATTCTCTCATTGGAAACAGCACATGTACGCAGGCCCAATTACCGCCTTCACAAAATCAGAAGAGACTGAATGATCGTCCTTAAGAAGTTCGCAAACTCATCAAACAGAACGTTTCTTTCTTTGGTGTCTGTTCTACAGCTAGAAATTCCTTTTTTTGTAGTTTCATGCACCCATTCAAGCAAGCCGGGAATTTCCGCACTACCTTAAGCCACGGAAAACCCGAACGTCTAGAAATCACTTTTTCCGATGAAAAGAAATGAGTTCATCTTTTCCGCTACGGGAACAATGACATTCTTTAGTTATTCACATTCAACGTTTCAACACTGACACTCTTAAATCATTCTCATGCAACTATTCATACGTAGTCGGGACGGCTGTGAAGAAATTTCTTCAAATTTCATAACACCGGGAAAAAAACTGGACTCGCAGACCGCTGTCGGCCGCCAGGCTACAGTCGAAAACGTAGTTACCTCTCTCTCTCTCTATTCGTAATTTTGATTAAGGTGAAAAATCTGGAAAGAGGCCCGGTGTCGCAGTGGCTAGCGCATCGCGCAGCAGCACCACAGGTCCGGGGTTCGATCCCCGGTCTGGGCAATGTCGACTCAGCCTTTCATCCCTTGATTTCCATCCTTTGGGTCGATAAAATGAGTACCAAGTTCGCTTGGGAACTAAATACTGGCGGGTCCTCCGACAAGCTGATCACTTGTTCAGGGCATATGCTTACGCACCCCTGGGCGAAGCAGACTTCAGGTCACTGCAGGCATTGGCCCACTAGGGCTGTTACGCCACTGAGTTTAGTTTTAGAAAAATCTGGAAAATTCTGCTCCTACCTCTCGTACAACAACTTTCAAACCTCAGTAACGCTAAACTTCGGAATGCCTTTAAATTCATTATTGGCTCAATTTAACAATAAAATTAATAATTACCCAATCCAATACTTATCTTGAACTTGCTCTAACCAACGAGGGCAATAATTTACCTCAAAATTTCTAAGAAAAGTCTAACTCTCTTTTAAAAGTGACATCTCCGTTCTCACGACAAACTTAAAGGAATGTTTTCAACCGTAATTCTACCAAAGATGCGACACCAGTTAGCAATAAACATAGCATAAAGTTCTCCACTTCAAAAAAAAAAAAAAAAAAAAAAAAAAAAAAGGCCGAAGAATTTCTCTCCTTCATGAGCAAAACACGTGTTGAGCCATGGACCTTTCTTATAAGGTCCATGGTTTTCAGCTCAGAAAGTTAAGGGGAAGAAGCAGCTGGCCGCGGTCTTTTGACCCTCAAAGTGGTAGCTTCGTGGGAATGAAAAATCACCCACCTCTTAGATGCACAAAGCTTTCCGCTAACTTTTTAAGAAAGTACCGCATGCAAAAGAGAAATGAGTTTAAATAATAACATGTCAAAAATTAATTCTCAAATATTAACATTATAAATTTACTATTCATTGAAAATTCACTACGCACTGTAAATTAATACACAACACAAACAACATATCACAATGCACAGTGAAAAATGCAGTGTGTGTTACGTCATTACGGTTCGTGTTACTTTACATTTTAATCGGTGCAGATGATCGTACGAACCTACGGATATCGCTTGTCGTGTTTCTGCAGAATACACCTCACAGTATGGTTTACGTTTTTTTAAGGCTGATGTCAATTCGACGGCTTTGCGTCATTAGATTATAAACTGCCTATGAACTGCTAAGTGTTTTTCAAATGCTGTCGGAGATTTGGATTTAAACTTATCGGATTATGGCAAAACTTACTAGGGCTATCTGACTAAGGGACATAATGTCTTCGTGGAGAATTTTCTAAAGGAAAATGGTTGGTAATCACATTACACATGACATGTTACTGAAAACTAATTGAATGCGCTCAGTGAGCTTCTGTGTTTCGTTTAAGAGGTTCTCGTATTCACATGGTAGCTTAAGATGAAATCGATGTTTTCAAGTTTAATGAGATAGCAGAATTTTGAAGTCCATATCTTCTGAAGAAATGGGTATGTCAGAACCATTTTAGCAGCATTTTGCTTCACTCTGTTTCCAAAAATACGATATATTGTCGCATTTGTTCTAGAACATCCTGCATATATTACACGCATATACATATCGTACACAAAAATGTTTTAAATAAGACAAATACTCACGTTTTGACATATTTAATTGATAAGTTTTATATAAAAATTAGAAAATCGAATTTTTTATATGTTACCCCTCGACCCTTATAGTTATATGTAGTAATGGGTTTACTCATTCTAAAAAATCGAATATATATATCTCGATTAAATGCAAATGATTTAACTAGTAATTAAAGTTTCAACTTACGTAACTTGACTTAAGTAAAATAAAATGTTACTCAAGCTCTCAGTCACATTACAAACATATGAAAATAAGAAAAGCAAATCAGAACAAACAAGTCAGTTATTAAAATGTTACACTCATGCTTTAGCCTATTACTTCACACTTCTAAAATAAAGCTGTAAACTGAGCAGGAAATTCTGAATACACACATGATGCAACCTGTGATAGAAATTTCAGGTAGTTATAGTTCCCAATAATGCATTCTTATACGCTAAAATAATTTCTGAATATAATTATCATAATAATTCTATAGATAGTGTGGAAGTTTGATACACGTCACAGAGGAACCATGTCCTTTACGATTCTTCTCCTCATACACCGTTTGCCATTAAATCTGCAGATTCCTCAGTAAGCGATTAAGAGACGAATCGAGGAATAAAAAAGAGAATCAAAATAAATCTTAAATGATAGTAAAATTTAAATAAAATATAATATAGTCGTGATCTATAAAATATCATAGTTTGTGAAAAGAGCGCACGGCAAACCTATTTACAGAATCAATTTATAAGAAGAAAACGTGCATGCATTTTGTAGGACAGACGCACTGTATTCGTCCTCCTCGAGTATCAAAAATATTCTGAACATGAAAGTCCAAGCGTTCGCAAGATGGTAATCTGTTAATTTCAGCCACATTTTGAACAGTGAGAAAACATTTTATTTTATATTTTTAAAAGTATTTCTTCGACTTCAAAATGTGTTGAAATTTCTCATAGCAACCTGTTGTTCGACTTTCGTAAGATGAGAAAATGCGCAACGTCATTTAAGATAATTTGCTAACAATAATGTTTTCCTGTGCAATATGCTAATAACATCATTTTAATCTTAATTATTCTACAGAAAGTGTGATAGACATAGTATTAATGCTATTTGTTTTATAGATGTTTGATACACGCCACAGAAGAACCATAATTGAAAGATGGGTTGCGGGGCAGCGAAATCGGCAAATGTAAGAGGAGATACTTCCACAGATGAGCTAGAAGTAATTTCATCAAGTATTACTCAAATAAGGGACCATGCACCTCTTGAAGTGGCTGATACTGGAGGTAAATTCGGATCTAATTTCGACAGTGTTCTTCCTACACAAATAATAACTTTATAGTTTTTTTCATGTAGAATCCTTTTACGCTGTTGCCAATTTAGAAGTTTCTTATTTAATAACTTTATAGTTCTTTTCATGTAGAATTCTTTTATGTGTTGCCAAATTACGCGTTTTTTATTTAAAAGGTTTTCGCTGACTTAAAATTTTTTCCTGATAAAAAAATGAACGCAAGAATACTTCATTTCAGAATAATTTATATTTTCCTCACGTATGTGCTTATTTTGTAATTTGAAAACAGTAAGCATAGAAAGAAGAGTGACGTAAAAGAACTCTGAAAAGAAGAGATAAAGAAAATATTATTAATTTAGATTTAAAGCGTTAAAATAGAAAGTAAAATGCAAATTATTAGAAGAAAATGTTTTAGGCTTTGTATTAATGGTTCAGAATTTTATTAAATGTTAATTTATTTTTTATTCCTTTCATTTCTTTTTTTTAAAACTCCTTTTCTTCCCAACGCGGTATTTCAATAGGTAAAATACACACAACATAAATACTTCCTATGTTTTAATTTTCATCCTTAACGATATCCATACATTTATGCCTTATTTCAGTATAAATGATTGCAACAATTGAAACAAAAAACGATGTATTTATTAGTGATTTTCTACCAAATATTACTGATTTTGCACTAACTAAAAATCCATACATTCTCGTCTATCTATTGTTTATTTATTTGCTTCACTGAATACGATAAAGCACGCGATAATCATCTACAGAAAGAAAGTAATTCCTTCGTGGAAAACTTTCTCGATGGAACTGTTCTTTACAAAAGAAGAAAATTCCTGTATTGGATCTGTGTTAGAATCCCGGCAAAAACTAACCCATTCTGCGGAATTCGAACCTAGGTCGAATTACTAATGTTCAGTGGTCTTATCCACTTGGACACTAAAGGCCTCCTGTCATCCAAATATAATCTGTCCGGTGTAAAATATAATAAACAAATAACTATTTTTAAATTTACCATTTTACATGAAGTAAGGTAACACACATAAAATTAAGTAAACCCCTGAAAATTTTGGTTATTATTCTTTCTCATATTTCCGATTATTATTTTCTTTATTCTCTTATAAAGTATTTTCTTCCTCCTTCCAGCATGCCTTCGCGCTGTAACGGTCAACACACTCGGCGCGTATTCGAAAGGTCCAAGTTCGGGTCCCGGCGAGGGCAGTGCTCATTTTTCATGTCTCCAGCATGAAAAATAACCTAATAATTCTACAATACACTAAAATAACTTAAATTCATCCTGAGTATAAATCTGCAAAATTAACGTCATAATTATAATACCCATCAAAATTAAAGTTTGTTGACAGAAGTAAAAATTAACTGCTATTTGCTGAAAAATTATTAAAAACAATTCTCACAAAAGCATTATTTAACAAAAGTTGCCACATTTTCCAGCTCACTGATCTCAAACTATTACATATTTCTGGAACTATTACATATTCTAAGTCAAATTTCTGGAAATTTAAAATTCATGAAAAAAATCTGCCCTGTCTTGCTACAAATCGTTTTTTAATATATTGTATGGTCCCAGCTATCATAAATGCAAACTCTACATCTTGATTTCGTAGAATTTACAAACTGTTGATCAGATCTAATGAAACTGCCTACCGCTCTCTTGAAAATACACTTTTCATGTTCTGAAGAGTCCAGAAGGCATTTAACATTGCACAGAAAAATACAACAATTTCACATATAATTGCATTAAATCATCTGTCTTACAAAAATCATCTCTTATTGTACAAAATTCGTACCAAAAATATATATATAGAGAGAGAGATTTGTATGCATATATATGTAATACATATTACATGTATTACATACATATTATTAGTTATGTCTCTGTCATGTCAATTGATTTGAGAAAGTCATTTCATAATTAAAATATTTTTTACGGATAGGCGCCATGGTTTTCAGTTTGCAAATTAAAAAAAATTTAATAGTAATGTGCGTATAATTTTGTTTAGAAAATTTGAATTGTTACTAGAATGTCTGTACAAAATAGTCAACGATGAGCCAGTAACTCAATTTTAATTAATTATTCATAGCTATTACCTTTTATGTATAAAGCCTGTTTTAAGAACTCCTATTAGCAACAGATGTGTATTAGTCAAATCTCTTTTTATACGTTTTTCGCCATACGTTATGAACATGTATTATTTTTAAATAAATTAAATAATGTAGAATTTGTATGTATGTAATGTATGTTCCTGCTACTGTGGAAAAACAACGGCAGATAGAGCCAACAAACTCTGAGTACACGTAGTCCAACACCGTAACATTGTAGAGACATTAGGTTAATTGGAAAGCAGGCAAAATGAAAAATTAGCAAGCGCCTTCACCAGGAATCGAACCACGGACCTCTGGAATACCGACCCAGCGTGCAGAACCACTATACCACGAAGGCACGTTAGAAAAGCAGGAGATATACCTTATAACATGTGCATCTGGAAGCCTAAATTTTGAATTTCGAATTTTTAGCCCAAAGGGCATTAGCCCAGAAGGGCTATTAATTTCATTTTGGTATTTTGCGTTGGTTCACTATAAATGTGGGTTCACTTTTCAGATTGTTGCCACCAAATATTAGAGCCCTGTGTTACATTGAAAAAAATTAAATAATGAAGAATCTGCATAAATATATGTATGTTTCTCGCATTATGATAAAACAACGATATCTAGAGCCATCACATTTTTAATAACGTAACCTTCCATTGAATAGGGGCATCTGGAAACCCAAATTTGGAATTTGAAATTCGTTTATTATCGATTTCATATTTTGTAAAACTTTAAAGAATTTTTGATTAACAAACTCGAGGATTTCAAAGCGAACAATGGCAAACGGAAAAAGGAAACGTTTTTATCTCCAGCGCGCAAGACTGTGTATCGGAAATTCTAAGATATGATCATGTTAAAATTATTTTGCGATATTGCTGTTGAATTGAAGTTTATGATTCAAGTGCGAATAACATGATATTTAATAAATAAAGGTAACACACAAAACTTTAAAAAAGCTCCCTTTGGGCGTAATTTAAAATCTGAAAGTGTTCAGATTTTTTAAAATTTTTTAAAAATTTATTTCATATTTTTGAACATTTCATGATTTTTTATTAATAAACTCGCTATTTGAAAACGAGCAAAACTATTCGAAATGAAATGTGTTTATATCTAACCTGAGAATCTGTTGCCATCCGGAAAAATGTAAGTTATTTATCTTTCAACTGTAATTAAAAAACTTGGTTGCATGAAAGCAATGTGTTGCCGTAGACAGAAATAACATACTTTTATCTTCCACGAGCCAGTATACTGATATTCACTAAAGTCTATAATATTTAACTTTCGAATTTAATTTGCAAGTTTCCTCAGTAACAAACTAAGCGATTTAAAAGCAATGAACACAGTTCTTAAGAATATTTTTTTCAGTTTTTTTATATGGTTGATTTAAATAAAAATGCATTAAAATAATAAGACGCCTAATTAGAAATAGTAAATATTTTTATGAAATTGCACTAGTTGGAATAATTGAAATCATTATATACATTTTCTTTTTTAGATGTGGTTAGTTTTTAAAGAAATAATATAACCAATATAAAAATATAGAGCGACTCCTAACGTTCTATCGGGAATCTTAAGGATATGCTGTTTTTAAATTTTTTTGTGATTTTGTTGTTGAATTTTACATAGCATAATTGCAAAGAACGGGACATTTGATCAATAATATTCATCGCGCAAAAAGTTAATAATAAAAGACAAAATATTTCCATCTTAACGGAACATTGATGTGATGAAATGATAAAGGCCTGAAAAAAAAATTAGAATAAAATCATTAAAAAACACAGAAAAAACATCGCGCAAAAAGCTTTTTTTTTTTTTTAAGTAAAGGAGAAAAAAATTTTAAGCCTTTTTTTTTTAAGAAAACTGAGCATTGATATCATGAAATGATTAAGGCCTGAAAAAAAATAGGATAAAAATCATTAAAAAACACTGAAACTTTTCAGATTTCACATTACGCCCACACGGTAGTTTTTTCATTTGCAGATACATACACGTTTCGAGAGCATCTGGGCTAACGCCACTTTGGCACTGGTATTTTTGGCTAATGACACAAAATACTTAGAAACAGCATATCTTTAGAATTTTCGATAGACAGTCTCGCGCACTGGAGACAAAAATATTTTATTCCCTACAGTGTTGCCGTTGCTTGCTTTGAAATCGTTGAGTTTTTTTAATCAAAAATTCGTTTTACAAAAGTTTTACAAACTACGAAATAGACAATAAAACAAATTCCAAATCTAGGCTTCCAGGTGATCATATTCAGGGGGAGGACTACGTTATTCAAAATTTGATTTCTCTAGGTACCGTTTTTTTCCACAATCCGAGAAACGTACATACGTTCATACAGATTATTTATTTAATTTCTTCAGGAATTCTAATCATATGTTTGCTGTTAAATTGTATATGACGTAAGTTCGAAGACATCGATGTTTAATAATAAAGCTAAAAAGACAAAAGAATGGTGTTAGCAAGAAAGAGTCTACGAGTAGATTAGTAAGTAACTTCAGCGAAAACAAAAAAGACTTTCACACAAATCGTCTGGTGAGACATGAAAATATGAATCATTTTAGATTTTCTTTTTTATGATCTTTTTGCCTGCTTTTTTTTATTCAGTTTTAGTGCTTATGCATCTTAATTGTAATTGTTATTATTAATGAATGTAATAATTTAAAGATTAGTAGAAGCAGTATTGCCTAAGTATGTTACCCACATTATTATTAAGCAGTACACTTTCACTAGGGTACATTGTCTTCACTTATTTCTTATTTTGTGCATTTCGTAAATTTAGGATTTATGAAAAATAACATCTATGTAAAAACATATTTACACTAGCTTTAGGCTCCAGAAATTTAACGATTATTCTCGCTATTTTTAGAATACAAAATACAGTAT